GAAGAGCCCCCGGTTCCTGCAGCGCCCTTGGCCGGGGCGCGCTGGCCTGGGGCTGGAGGCGAGCTGCACAGCCCCGTGTGCCCTCACCTTTCCTGGTGTCTTCTCCGTGGATGAACGGAAAGTCAGAAACTCAACATTTATGTCATTTCCAAAGAATGAGGAAAGGGAAAAGAAAAACCTCGTTTTTATGCCTGTAAGAAATTTTATAGATGCCAGCAGTCTGAGACCTTTTTTGGTATGCATAGAAATCACATTATAGATGTACATATGTAATAAAGAAGAAATAAAATGAGGCCTGTTGGACCAGGGAAAGTTAACAATTTCTGTTTCTTTCAAACTTGCCAAATCTAATCTGCGTCTAGAACTAAGGTGTCCCAGCGTAGGAATTCTGAATTGCAGTTGTTATTGCCTTACCTGATGGTTTTGGCTCGCCTAGCAAAAGTACTTTGTCAGCATGGGTACTTAGACATTTTTTAATTTAATTTTTTAGTTTAATATTTTTTAGGTAGCTGGGTAAGTAGAGGAGAGCCATCATCTTTGATACCGTGGAGGTATTTCAGGTGATGAACACACTACTTTGTCCTTTAACTTTTAAGCTGGAACCAGACTGCTTAAAACAAGTTCATTTGCTGTTGCGGCCGGTCAGTAAGACCTCAGAGCCCTGCAGGACTCCCTTCACGGGAATGGGATGTTACTGACCTGCCTCCCCCGGACAAGTAGCTGTTTCAGTCTGCCAGCCGTGCCCACGAGCTGAGGCCTCTCCCTGGGTGGTGGAGGGAGCAGCCCCCGCACTAGCGGAGAAGCTCGCGTGATGCCTGCCGCTGCGTGGGGCTGGTCTGCGCGCTCCGTCCTGCAGCCCCCTTGCCGTTCGCCACCTTCTCCTTCAGCCACGTCCCAGTGAAAAGATGGACGCCCATACAGGGAACGTTTGTGGACTGTTTGGAAGAATTATTTCTGGGCCTGCTCACAAGCCTGTTCCCTCCTGTGCCGCTCCATCTCTGTTCACGCAGGATAACCTGCCACGCACCTGCCGGAGCACAGGCTCCTTGAAGGCGGACATGTGGGTTTGCAGCTACTTAGCACAAGATGAGCGATATCATCCATGGAAGCTTTACCCTGGGTCTTGGGAAGAAGGGGGTGTTAAGATTGACGGCTCCCTGTGTGTGGGCCTGGGTAGCTCCCTTTGCAGTGAGCAGCGACCCTGCCCGGCAGGTGTCGTCTGGAGGTGGGGGAGCCATCTGGGGCTTTTTAGCACAGACTTAAGTTCTGTAAAGGTTGGTGGGGCCAGGTAGATTAGGAGGAGGAGGAGGAGACCTAGGTCTGTAGGAAACTGGTGATAGGACAAGGCAGGGGGTGGGGCTTGAGGGGTGTGTAGGAGGGGGAGTTGGCAGGACCGGCGGCTGTAGACAGCAGGGCGCAAAGCTCCTGCTTCTGGCTCACCCTAGTCGTGTGCATGGGGCGCCCTTTATCTGAATGTGGGTGTGCTAAGGAGGCAGTGAGTTTCCTTTAGCTTTGCAAGTCTCCAAGGAGAAAATTCCTGGTAACTGGTGGAACAAGGAAGCTGAATTTCAGGAAGGAGGCCTGGGCTGGGAGGTACTCTCCGCATCAGAAAGTGTAGGAGCAGATAAACACATTCTGCACTATTTTGTACAGTAGTATTTTTTTCAAACTTCTTTTAACAGAACATTTTGTTATTCCTCCCTAAAAAGTAGGTTTTTTCGCATGTAAGTCAGGAATAGATAAAAGCAAGGGTGCGAGTGGGGTTCAGAGACATCCCTCCCAAAGGCCCTTACGTGCTGGCAGAGCCGGCGCAGAGACACCCAGCCGGCTGCTAGCGCAGCGGCCGATGGCGCCGAGAGTGTGAGGGGTGGGGTGGCGTCCACGGTCACCAGGCTCTGGAGGGTTGGTAGTCTGTGGAAATGTATGGTACACCCATAACCTTAGATCCCAAAATCCCACTTCTGGGAACTTACCTTACCAAAATACTTGCACAAATACGTACAGATACAGGTATAAAATATCTGTTACTGTAATTGTAAGTGATAAATTGTAAACTGCAAACACCTATCAACAGCCAAATAATTTAGCTGTATAACTGTATATGTGTTAACATGAAAAGACATGCAAGGGAAAAACAGCAAGAATCAGAACCACGTGTGTAGTATGGCCAAAGCGAGAAAATTATGTGTGTTTTTGTATGTTGCTGTATCTTTTGAAGCAATGTGAAACAACGTAGACCACATACTAACAGAGGTCGCCTCTGGGACACAGCATTAGAGGGACTTTGCTAAGCCTTGGTATCTGTCAATTTAATTTAACCCCTGAAGCACCTATTACTGTCATAATAAATAACAACAACAAAAACACTAGTTTAGAAAGCTGCCAGCCACTGCAGTTAGTGTGGGAGGCAGAGAGGGCAAGAAGGCCTGGTCCCAGGATGGGCCAGCTGGGACGCTGAGGGCCGGGGGCTGAGGGGGATGGAAGGTTTGAGGAGAAAGAAATGGGAAACTGAGTCAGATGCTCCCGAGAGGTCACGAGAAGTGACACTCGGCTTGGGAGGAGGTTCACTTCAGTGGTCTGGTGGGTTCTTGTCCTTCTATCCAGAGACACGCTTTTGCTCTGTTGTTCCCAGTCTGCATTTTCAAGTCCTGAAGCACTTAGACTAAAAGCTCAGCTGTGCCATGCTTACTGCCACCTGTACTAAACGCTGTTCGCAGACTCCCCTGCCGGAACCGGTGGTGTTCGCCCCCGAGTCTGGTGACACAGATTCGGAATGTCTGCGGCCACCGCTGCAGGGATGCGGAGCCTCACCCAGACGTGCACAAAAGACTGTCAGGAAGCGGCTTGTCAGTCAAGCCATAGGAGGAGTATTTTGTCCGCCTTTAAAACTACAGTAGGTGGGACCGAAGTGCCCTCTCCTTGCTCTTCTTTGCACGCTTTTCATGCTTCCTGACTGGCCTGGTCTCCTTTTCCTTTCTAAAGTTAGATGATGACTAACGCTGGCCACAAAGGCAGGCCCACTTGGAGTTTTCTGCTTTTGTTCACTCAGTGTTTGGGCCTCTTTTCTTCGGCATGAGGGAGGCATAGTCATCCTGGCCCAGCGGCCCCCGCTCAGGCTGCGCCAGCTCCTGAACAGAGTGTGTGTCTCGTCCCAGGAATTCCATGCCGGTCACCTCCACAACTAGGGCAGCTGCGAGGTTTGCAGAGCCGCCCCGCTGTGGTCCGCGCGGCCCCTCTGGCTCAGCTCCCTCTCCGGAGGCTCTCCTGCGGCTCCTCTGTTGCCCGGCAACGGACGCCTCCACTTACAGTCCACCTGGTAACGAGTGGGCAGCCCTTGAGATTCGGGGGCTTTTAGAAAGGAGCATCTACGTTTTACTGTCAGAATTTAAAATTCTTTGGGGTCAGGTTATATTTGCTTCCAGAACTGGATTATCATAACTTCCTTCCAAATTTTTATGTATTTTTGTTTGTTTTTACTATGTCCTTTCAGACTTATGTGATGTGAAGCAGTTTTCTTAAAACTATAATTTCAAAACTCCCTCAGAACTAAAATCCATAATCGAGTTAACAGTTATGCCATCCAAGTATAGTGATTTCAGACAGAGAGGTGGTTTCTGCTCAGAGTTGTGGACCTGAGCTGAGACCTTAAAGAGTTAAAATAAGACATACTCTCTACTTGCTTCCTTACAGCTCTCAAGAATATCCCTCCCGCCCCCGACGGGTGTGGCTCAGGGGGCTGGGCGTTGTCCCGCAGACAGAAAGGTAGTAGTGGTCTGATACCCGGTCAGGGCACGGGCCTGGGTTGCAGGCCATGTCCCCAGTTGGGGCCACGTGAGAGACAACTGGTGTTTCTCTCCCTCCCTTTCCCTCTCTCTATAAATAAATAAAAGTTAAAGAAAAAAGAATACTCCTCCCTAGAAACTGAGGGAAGGTACACCATTAAGTGTCGACATATATAAACTGAGCGCCTCAGATGACAAGAAATGTTTGGCCATTCTTTCCTGAGAATAAATGATTGATTCTCCATATCTTGTCTCTGAGTTAGAGCTATTGATAAATAGTGAGCAGGCCCTAGTGGCCATCTCATTTGCCAGGTATGAGCTGTAAGCGATGGATCCCTAGGAAAGGTGGATATTCTGTCCACATGAGCAGGGAAGTGAGGAATAATAAATATGAAGTAGCACTGTGGGTTGAAATTTCCCACTAGGGGTGAACATTATTTTTTAAAAATGATCATTGACAGTTTTCCCGTCTTGGGCCTCAGTGGTTTATGACTTTCAGAATCACCTACCGAATTGTGGCAGGGTAGCGTGGCTCTCTGGGCAGCTCATAGTAGCCGTGAGGCGATGTGAATGATCCTGCCTTTAAAATGAACCTGACCTGAAGTCAAGGAGTTTATGTAACTATGGTATGAGAATGCTAGTACCTGCTGAAAAGTTTTCAATAGTTCGTAACTAACAAATTTTATGAATAGCTTTGTGGAGATTAGTTTTTAGGTTAACAGATTCAAGCTCAAAAGGTCAGCTAAAATGAGCTGCTGTTAGCTCATAGTCTCTCAATTGACCTGGAAATGGCTCAAATGAGAAGAAATGTGGTATTTCAGCAAGTTTTGCTTGCCATTTGTCACCTGATACTGGGAATGATGTGTTCATTCAACACACATTTATAACTTATTTGCTAAGTATCCATTCTTTAAACAAATGCTGCTGGAGTGTCCAAGTGCCCAGGGACTGAGCCAGGCACTGGGGAGACAGCTGCGAGCGCCCCTTAGCTAACCGATGGCGGCGTCGATCTGGCCATGCGCTGCGGTGCTTTGCTAAGCGGCTGTCACATGCCTACCTTAGGGCTGCATGACCAAGAACCAGTCCTGTCCTCTGGGGGCACACAGCCAGGTAAGGGGGCAAACAGAAAGCAAGAGTTCTGTGGGATGCAGAGGGGGGAAGCCATGGGTGGTTTTGATCTGAGCTACAAATGCTAATGACTTCCCTCTGGCCCTGCAGCATGGACAAGGACAGCCCAGACATCCATCAGGACCTGAACGCCCTCAAAACCAAGTTCCAGGAGATGCGAAAGGTCGTCAGCACCATGCCTGGCATCCACCTGAGCCCTGAGCAGCAGCAGCAGCAGCTGCACAGCCTCCGGGAGCAAGTCAGGACCAAGAACGAACTTCTGCAGAAGTACAAGAGCCTCTGCATGTTTGAGATCCCCAAGGAGTAGATGAGGCGAGCTTTGAGGAGTGTCCGAGGAGGAACGGAAGAGCGAGCGAATGGCCTCACTGCCCCTGCCCCCAGTGGGGTCTGTGAAGTGTGGTTCCCTCGGACCCCAGCTCTGAACTTTGCAGCTGGCTGGGGCTGCGGGGCTACTGTGCTGCTTCCTTAGCTGAGCTTGGTATTGCCTGTGAGAGGAGCCAGCCTGGGAGCTTGGCTTTGTGAGAGCTTCCATGTGTACAGATACATGTATGACTGTCCTAGAGGCTGCAGCGGGGATGGAGGCCTCTACGCCTACCTCTGGGGAGGGGCTGCCTGCTCTGGGTTCGGCTCCACGGGTATAGCTGAAGAGCAGAGCGGGAAGGAAGGCCCCTCCTCTTTGCTTCCTGCCTCCCTGCTCCTCTGCCCCCTGGGTGTGGCCAGTGCGTGCGGGATACACACTGTTCCCCGCCTGACAGCAGCGCTGTGGGACCTTCGCACAGACCCCGCTGGGCAGCTAGGCCTGTGTACACGTGCTGTGGGTTCAACACGGGGACGGAAGGCGGGCTGTGAGAGAGTTCTGAAAGGCTCCAGGCTGGCTTTTTCTCCTGAAATTGTTTGTTTTATGTTTGAGCCGGTGACTATAACTGCGTCCACGGGGGTGTCCGCTAGAGCCCTGCCAGGTGGCCTGTGTCCAGGTTCTTGGCCACCTACGTGCTCTTGTTACTTTTAGCTCTTGCTTCCTTAGTCTCCTGTCATCTTCAGGCATCTCAGTTGAGCCAATTAATGCCCGAGACTGGCCACCCACTTCACACCTAACAGGGCGGGAGGGCGCTGTTTCTGCGTAGACTCGGGCTTCCAGGGGCACGGGCCTTGCCAGATATGACCTTCCAGTTCCGGTTCTGTTGTGAACGGCGGGCAAGCTAGGCCTGGAAGTTACGCCACCAAGTTCTGGTTTATAAAATGTTTACAAACCCCCCTAATTTCCTGCAGGTGGGACGTTATATTTGCCTCTTAAGGATCAGGCGAGAATAGTAACTGAATATCATCTAAATCTAGAAATGAGCGCACAACCGCTGCTGACCAGCTCAGGGGCTTACCAGGCGCCTGCTGGCAGGCCTCGTGGGCGGGTGGCTGGAGGTGTTTCTGGCAGGGGTTCCATCCATGTGGCCCTGCAGCCACCTGTCGGATGGCAGGCCTGCTGGGAACTCAGGGATGTGTGAAGGGGGATATCCAGTTTCAGTGGCTTTGGACAGAAAAGCAGACTCTGAATTTAAGTGGGTAGTCACCTATTAAACTTCTACCTTGGGACCATTATTTAACTGAATCAGTTATTTTCTTGAAATTTCACAGTAGTGTGTGGGCCAGTTTTCAGGCTTTGACCAAATACCATGAAACATGAAGCACATAGAAATGCAGGACCACCGGGGCCTTTCTGTAAGGCTGAAATTTCACTGTTACGCCTTGTGATGTGTTTCAAGAGTATAATTAAATGAACTGATGCTCTGTTCTCAGGACATCTTGGTTTTTGTACTGAGAAATTCATGGTAGGCTGTCTCTTGGGTACGTTCACTTTGCTTAAAGAAGACAACAAATTGTGACAACCTGCACACCACACCTCCCGCAAGTCCCCCCCACCCCGCACTCACGTGGCTAAACTAAGGTGAAAAGAGCTCCCTGGGAGCCAGCATTGGTCCCCAAGGGCCTGGGGGGCTTGGTGGGTCGCCGCGCTTGCCCACTGCCACCCAGCATTCCAGAGGCGGGGGCGACCTTGTAGGGAGCCCCCTCCCCTGGGACCACACCCACTGCCCCTCTATGGGCTGAGCACCCTCGTGAGGCCAGCGTGTCTCATTACCGGGTGGCAGACACCGCTGAGTGCTTTTTAAACATCGCACCTAGTAATCCTCATGCAACCCCACACAGAAGGCATTCTCTGTGTTTTCCTCGTGAAGGATGTGAGGCTTGGTGGGTGTCACTTGTCCTGAACTTGCACAACTGGGGGAGGACTGGGTCCTGAATTGGGAGCGGTGCCCTCAACTGCTGAGAAAAGGAGGGCAGGCGGAGAACGGTGCTGGACCCGCCTGTGGCAGAAAATGCTTCCTGGAGCTGCAGGGGCGCCGGAGGCTGGGCGGTCCTGGCTGCGCACAGCCACACGGGCCCGGCGCCGGCCTGGCACCGAGTCGGCATCCCAGGACCCTGTGTCCGTCCTTGCGAAAGCAGGGCCTGGAGGCGCCTCACCCTCTGTGAGTTTCAGGTTTGATGGCCTCTGTCATCCTGGGCCTGCGCTGAGCACGGGACAGAACAGTTGGAGCACAGTCCCGGGGGCGCTTTGCGGCTGGGCGAGGGGAAACAGGTGAACCGCTAGAAAGACGCATCTCTAGGCATACCCTGAAGTCCTTCATTTTCATCCTAGACCTCTCAGGAACCGTTCCCCAGATAGAAGGGCTTCAGCCTGGTCACCTGGGGCTGACTTTTTTGTTTTTTTCTTTTTTTTTTTTGCGCGGGGTTGGAGGGGTTGCTTTTCTCCCAGGAGAACTGAAAGGATCTTCCGGATGCCGGGGTTATTTGCCAGCTCTGGGGAAGGTGAACCTAATTCCGCTGAAGTAGAAACCCGTCCCTTCCCTTCCCCCTCCTGCCACTTCTAGAAGCAAGGAAAGCACAGGTTGTCATTTTAAATTATTTTATATTTAAAAAAGTAACAATAAAGACCGTTTTACACACAGTATAAACATCTGGATATTACACACAGTATAAACATCTGGATAAGATTTTGTTCATGACGACACCAGAACTATTAAAGTGCAAGTTTTTCCTTCGTGCAGCTTCACGCACACATGTAAACAGGTCACTGGGCCCACACCCCTTAGTTTCAGGAGGGCGAGGGCTTTTGCCAGCTGTCGGGGCAGCTCGGAGTCACACACAAGGTCATGCCGTTTGTTTAACCCTCCAGCAGGCGCGGGTTTCTCCAAGCCTAACAGTGGCTGATTAACACTCACTCCCTCCCAAGTCTTCCATCTTTTTGAGAAACCAGACAAATTCAGCCTCTGCTGGGCCTGTGTCCCCAGGTACTGGGGGCAGTGGGCGCCAGTGTCCCCCAGTTCTCTTTCCTTCCAGAGCAGATGGCCTGCCCTTCTCAGCTGTTCCCACCTCCCCAGCAGGTGGGGCCCCGGGCCTGGGGAGGGAAGACGCCACTACACACTCGAGCACGTGGCACAGGGCGGGCCCGCAGGGCTGGACCAGACATAAGATTGGACTTCTGAACGAAAAGGTCCTCCTTAGGCTCTGTCCTCGGCGCAGGGTCGGGGTAGGGGCCCTAGCTGATCACGCAGCGCTCCTTGTCCTTGGCCTGGCCACCGCCGGCCTTCTGGCGCACGTACAGGAGGTCGCTGTGCACGCTGGGTCTGCGCGCGAAGGGCGCCACGATGCCGAAGGCGTCGGCCTGGTCGCCGCCCCCGGCTCGCAGCAGCTTCTTGCTCCGCAGCGCCTTCTTGGGCAGAACGTCGCAGTACTGCACCGACACCTTGCGGTGCAGGTCCGGGCTCATCTCTCTGGGCAATTTGGCCATGGCGAAGAGCGCCCGGAACATCTGGTCCAGGCTGCTGTTCTTTTTGGCCGAAATCTCGAAGTAGGCGCAGCGCTGGGGGTCGTCGCCCACCAGCTGCTCGATCTCGGCCTGCTCCACCTCTCGGTAGAAGTCCCGGTCACCCTTGTTGCCGCAGACGACCAGGGGCACGTCCACGTTCTCCTTCGTTTTGTTCTTGAGGCAAGCCTTCGTGTCGAGGATCTGCTGCTTGAGCCTCTGCACCTCCTCGAAGGAGTCGCGGTTGTCCAGGCTGAACACCAGGATGAAAACGTCTCCTGCGGGGAAAAGCAGGAGAGGGGAGGTGAGAGAGGCTGCCAAGGGGACAACTTAAGTTGGTCTTAGTTTGGGGGTCGCCCGGCCGCGGGGGCTCCAGCAGCCGGGGGCCAGGCACTCAGACCCCTCCACACGCAAACTCGGGGCGCGGCGGGCCTCGCCCGCGCCCCCGGGCCAAGGGTCTGCAGCCCTCCTGGTGGCGCAGCTCCATCCCCCCACCGCTGCCCACGCGGGCGCCCTGCTCACCAGTGAGGATGGAGAGGCGCCGCATGGCAGGGAACGGGTGGTTGCCTGACGTGTCGAGAATGTCGAGCTGGTAGACCTCGCCACGGATGGAGTAGAACTTGCGGTGGAAGTCCTCGATAGTGGGCGTGTAGGCGTCCTCGAAGCGACCCGTGAGGAATCGCGACACAATGGCCGTCTTGCCCACCTTGGACGAGCCGAGGATGACCATGCGGTAGCAATTCTTGGCCGGTATACTCAGCTCCGAGTCGCTCGGGCACATCTTCTTGATCATCGCGGCCAATTTCATTGGGCAGAGGGGTCGCAGGCGGGCGAGGGGCTGAGAGTGTCGCAGAGAGCCCCGCGGAGGGGTCGCGGGCGGGCGAGGGGCTGAGAGTGTCGCAGAGAGGCCCGCGGAGGGGTCGCGGGCGGGCGAGGGGTGAGAGTGTCGCGGAGTGGCCCGGGGATCTGCTTGGCTGCGGCTGGTTGGGGCTCGGCTCCCGCAGCTGCTTCGACTCTGGGACACAGTCTTCGCTCCTTCTGCGCTCCGCGACCCGCAGCCGCCTTTATAAGCAGCCGGGGGGCGGCCCCGCCCACCCCGTGCGTCACGCCGGGCCTCCACCGCCCCCTCCCTCCCGCGTCCGCGTCCGCGTCTGCCCAGCAGCAGCAGCCCGCGGCTCCCCGCTGGGGGCGGGTTAGGAACCTGAGCCGAGGATCCGGCTAAGGCTGAGGACGCGCCGACCCTGCGCTCTTCCACCGCACCGGGTCAGCGGCCGCAAGGGCGTCAGGGTCGTGGTCCCAGCTGTGCCTCCCACCTCTGACTTAGGGCACGCACCCCGTCCACAACGCGCGCACACTTTCTTGGGGCCTCAGGTTCCCCAGAGAAAAACTATAGTGATACGGTCATCGCAGCAGCGTGACAGCAGGCACTCACCAGGTGCTAGGCCCCGCGCCGGGGCTCTGCGCACCTTGCCTCTTTCAGGCCTGAAAACAGCCCACTGCGCCCATCCCGGTTCCCGTCCCTGGGGCTTGTTCCGGGGCCGCCCGCTCCGGTCGCCAGAGGGCGCCAGAGGGCGCCACGCTCCGCTGGGGTGGGCCGGCTCCGCAAGATTGGGGTCAGGGAAGGTGCCGACCGGGCCTTGGGGTGGCAGGCCGCCCTCGGCAGGAGCCGTCCCCAGCCCGGCGCTCCGCCGCCAACCTCAGCTTCTCCATTTTCTCCACCAGATATGCCCTGGGGCCTGGCGGGGTGTTCTGCTAAGGATTATCCCCCTCCTTTTCCTGTCTTCAACCCAAAACGGACGAGAAAGTGGCCCTTCCTTGGTCAGGCCTGGGCCGACGTCCTGTCCTCCCTCCTTCATAGCGTTTTGTGCTTTTAGATTCCCTTGGGCGAACACTTCCGCCTGACAGCTGGGGAGCTGGGCCCAGGACGGGCCTAGGCGCGCCGCGCCGCCTCTTGCCTTCTCTGGGCCTCAGGCTGCTTGCTCCTGGGAGGCGGCGGCCCTGGTTCCGTGACCGCGGATGAGAGAGTGCGGACAGTTCAGGAGGCAGGACCTGGTACTCACAACAACAACAACAGTAAGTGACCGCGAGGCTCGGGGGCGGAGCGCGGGTGGGGGGGCGGAGCAAACAGGAGGGCAGCGGGGTGATCAGTAACCAGGGGGTGAGGCGCCCGGAGAGCCCGGACATAGGCCGTGTCTGGAGCCGGCTGGCGCCAGCGTGGAGCTCACGGAAAGGCCGTTGCTCCTCGAGGCCACAGGGGAGGCTGCGCTGTGTGTTGCTTTGGCCGCGCCTGACTGGGAGGAGTCCAGGGAGGGAGCCATTAGCTGGTGCCGCCCCCACCCCACCCCCATCCACAGGGGTCAGGGTGCCCTGGGCCGCCCTGGGGTGCCAGCGCACACCCCTCCGCCGTCCGCAGAGGGCCCGTGGACTCTCAGCCGCCCGGGAAGGGCTCTCGAAGGTCGTCTCTTCAGCCCGCCTGTGACAGGATTCCAGCAAAGTCTCACGCTCTCCACGGCGGGTGCCCGAAGGGGCTCGGTCCTGGCCAGGAGCTGTTCCCGGGGCTTCCTCGCCGCCACCTTTGAGGCCTGAGCGCTTCGCTGTGGTTGCAGGTGGAGAGGCTGACGCAGAGGGCAGCGACCCGCCGGCCCGAGCGGCTGGGCTTGAGCCCCAGGGCTGAGGCGCCTGCTGTCCCCCGCCTGTGCCGGCCGCACCCCCTCCAGGGGCCGCTGCCCAGAGCGCCCCGCCCGCCTCCCGCCGTCCCCAGGAGGCCCGCGGGGAGCGCGCCCGGGGGCCACCGCCTGGTCTGAAGCGCGGGCGGCTCCGGCCCGCCCGGACTCTGGCCGCGCTTCCTTCCGCGCGAGTCCGAGGGGCCAGCGGGCGGGCCCCGCCCCACCGCCCGCCCCTGTGGACGCTGCCCGCCCGGCCCTCCCCGCCTGAGCTGAGGAGGTGCGCCCGCTGCCCACGGGGCCGTCGAGGAGGCGGCGGGGGCTGGCCCGGCAGGGCGGCGTCGCCCCGGACGACGGGCCTCCCTCCGCCTCCCAGGAGGGCGCTGGGGCGCCGGGCTCTGAAGCAGGGCGGCCCGGGCCGGGGAGTAACGGCGGCGCCCCGGCAGCCACCCCTCAGTGGCCTGCAGCCCTAGGACGGCCACCTCAGGGAGCAGAGGCCGTAGGGCTAGGGGTCAAGCCTCTGAGCCCAGCTCTCCTTCCGGAGACCCAGCCGGCTGCTTCCTTCTGGGCCTGTCGCCCTGCCCCGCGGAAGGCAGGCGCTGAGGCTGTTCTCCCGCGGCCGCGAGCCCGCTGGGCCCGACGAAGGCCCGGAGCCTGTGTGCCGCCCCCTCCGGGAGCGGCCAGGACGCTCACTCCTCGGGAAGCGGGCGGAGGTGACAGCTTGGGCTGCCTTGTTGCTGCCTTTTTAAATTTTTTTAAGGCACATCTCTAGATTTAAAAAGTAATACATGTTCATGTTTTTAAAACATCCAGATTCAGAAAGGAACGGAGAGAGGAATTGGAAGCAAGACGCCCCCCTACCCCGCCCCGCCGTGGGTGAGAGGCTCTCGGGGAGGCCCCGGAGCCCTGACGCGCGCGTCCCTGCTCTGCCAGGGCGGCCTCCCTCCGCGCCGGCGCCAGGCCCCGCGCAGGCCGCCCGGTCCAAGTGTCAGTGCCTTCCGCAGGCGAGCCCACGGCCGGCGGGCAGAGAGAAGCTGCCGGCCCGCGGAACGGCCCGCCCGCCCGGCTCCGCTCCGGCTCCGGCTGGACGCCACACCCGCTCCCCAACACTCCTGCCTCCTGGGACCTGCCAGCCACAGGATCGTTTTTATCTAGTCGAGGTTTGTAACGGTTACAAATGACTTTGTTCTCTGTGCATTTGGCAACAAACTGCATTTATAGGGCTGAACCAGCCTGTAGATATTTCCTTGCAGTGTAGCAATGTTTCCTGCTGAGTGGAATGGAAATTTCTAAAAATATTTGACATGTTGGGAGTGGGTTGCAGTGGACAGCTGGGCCCAGGGCAGGGCTGTGTGCCACAGCCTGGTCTGGTGGCACCGAGACTTCAGGAGGCTCTTGAAAGCTGAGTGTGAGGAGTGAGGCAGGCAGGCCCCCGCCTGGGGTCGAGGCATGTGGAAGCTTCCGGCGAGCACCCGCACGTCCATGCGCTGCCGTGCCAGTCCGAGCTCCTCGCACAGAGGGCCCTGACCCCGCTTGTCCTGCCACCTGGTCCACAGCCACTGCCTGGGGAAGAGGAAGGGGTCCCACTGTCAACCCTGAGAAAAAATATACCTGCCAAGAGGACCCCAATTTGTCACCAGAGTCTAGCAGCCACTGCTCACAGGGAAGGCCACAGCCCGAGCCCCCCACTCCTGCACGGTGCCCCCTCAGTGCCCCTCACCTGTGGAGCCCGCAAGACTGCCCGGCGCCGCCGAAGCTGCGCAGCTGCGCCCTCACGTGCACCTTTCCTGACCAGGCCAGGTCCTTGTTGACCAAGCGTAACGGTGCAGTTTGGACCAGCAAACTGCAAGTTTGGAGTCCTCATTCGGGAATGAGGATGGGAATTTTTCTCTATATAGCCAGCCCCCCATGTCTCAATGGGGCGCACTTTCGGCTTCTGCTGAAGACCGTTTCCCTGGTTTGCTGTTTCACTGGGGTAAAGTTTCTCCCCTTCGCCGCACCCCACATTGGGGGGCTCCTACTGGCACTGGATTGGCAACAGGGACCTTTCGTGGACACAGCAGGCCTGGCTTTTCCGTCTGACAGGCTCCCCGCCGGACGCACGCGGCCCGGCTGTCCTCCTGGGCCCTGAGGTCTGCTCCAGCGCAGGCCCGGCTCTGGCCCCACCGGGCCCGTCCCACAGCCGCGTGGGCCCCGGGTCGGGCTGCCTGGAGCCCGCAGGCCTGCCCTGAGTGAGGCGCGGCCCGGGCGCCTGCAGCTCCTCAAAGGCTGCACGGGCGAGGCTCTGTCTGCGGAGAAGCGCGTCCCTGTTCCTCAGGGTGTGCAAAGGGGCAGGGACTGAGGCACCCGATGCCTCTGGCGCCTCTCAGGCTCCAAGACAGAAGCCAAAGAGAAAGCCTGGAGGAGTTCCAAGGGTGACAAAGGGGCCCTGCCAGCTCTGCCTGAGCACCTGCTGTATACACAGGCGGCATGACTATGGTGATCATCGTCCGGGTGAGGAGGCCGAGGCCTGCGAGGGAGCTGTGTGCACAGGTAGAGCCCAGCCTGAGCCGGGAAGGCCGAGGCTGTGTCCTTGTTGGGGCTGCCCTGTCCCCAGGCTGTGGTCAGGCTCAGTGAACAGGCTCACGTGGTCACACGGCCTGCTCCTGGAGGCGACACGAGGTCCCTGAGGAGCCAGGAGAAGGTGGCAGTGACTGGGAAGGCCAAGGTCAGCCGGAGGAGTGGGGGATGGGCAAGGACCTGCGGGCCCCTCCCAGGGGGCGTCCTGATGATGCTGGGAGCCCCATCTCCCTCCTCCAACCCCTCACCTCAGAGGCAGGGGGAGGCGTGGACGCAGGGTAGGACAGATCTGGGTTCCAGTTCACATGCTGTCACGCGTGCATCCCCTGGGACGAGTCACCCTGACTCGGAGTCCCTACCCTCTGCTGCGGAACAGGGCGTGGCGGGCAGGGGTGCCGCAGCCAGTGCAGGGCGGGCCAGAGCAGGCACCGGCCATGTGTCTGCGGCCCCGCCCCCCCCGCCCCCCACAGACTCGGGCACTGCTGGCAGACTTGGAGAAGGGGCCCTGGCAGAGGTCAGCCCAGCACCTTCCCTGGCCCGCTCAGGCCAGCCTCCCGGCGCGCACGGGCATTTCCCTCCTCCCTGGGAGGCCAAAGAGGGCGAGGCCTGTCCTCAAGCTGGGCCAGGCCAGGGAGTAGGGCGGGGCAGGGGGTGGGCGGGACGTTTGAACTCTCCTGATAACCTTCATTTCGCTCCCCGAGGGTGATCTGGTCTATCTCCAAGGCCAGCCAATCCAGGAGGGACCTGGTGGCCCCATGTTCAGAGAAAATAAGCATCATGGCCCAGCTTCTGCAAGCGCATTGGTGCCCCAAGGGGCCAGCTCAGGCCCAGCCCCTTGGCCGGACCCCCGGGGAACCAGGTGTCTCATGGCTGACACCGCTCACTAGCTGAGTCCTTTGGGAACCCGATGCTTTGGGCGCCTGAGAGTGTCCTCACCTCCAGGCCTTTCCACTTGCCGTTCCCACTGCCTAGAGGTCTCTTCCTCCAGTTTGCTCTCCGCTCAAATGTCACCTCAGAAAGGCCTGGCGCCTGACCGCCATAGTGACCATGGGCTCCCACTTCCACTGGGTACATTCACGGCACTTTTTTTTTTTTTAAGATTTTATTTATTTATAGAGAGGGGAAGGAGGAGAGAGAGAGGGAGAGAAGCATCAGTCACTGTGTGGTTGTCTCTCAAGCGCCCCTCCCTGGGGACCTGGCCCACAACCCAGGCACGTGCCCTGACTGGGAATCAAACCGGTGACCCTTTGGTTCACAGGCCGGGACTCGATCCACTGGGCCACACCAGTCAGGGCTCATAGCACTTTTTAAATTTTCAGCACAGCCCTGGCCAGATGGCTCAGCTGGTTGGAGCATCGTCCTGATACGCCAAGGTTGTGGGTTTGATCCTGGCCAGGGGGCCGACAAGAATCGACCGATGATGCATCAATAAGTGGAACAACAAATCAGTGTTTCTCTCTCTCTAAAAAAGTAAAATTAATTAACAAACACAACTACGTATAAAATAAATCTTTTTCTGCCTATCTTTCACTGATCATCTCCCCTGGATGGCAGCTCACGGGGGCTGCCAGGCCCTGACCCAGGGGCATCGGGCTGCTGGACAGTGTGACCACACGTCTGCCCGCAGGCTGGGCCGGCCCGAGGGGGAGGGGCCGAGGAGGGGTACACCGAGCCAGGGCGGGGCAGGCCCGGAGCGCGGGAGGCAGGGAGGGGGGTACACTCAGGGAGGGGCAGGGCTGCACCAGCCTGGCCTGGAGCTGGGGACGGCCCCTCCAGGAGACCCCTTCCCACCCAGACAGAGAGAGACCCAGACGGGAAGCTGGGGTCGGGGGCCTTTATTGGTGAGTTAAAACATGGGGTGGGGGCAGGTCAGGGGGCTCCGGCCACCCGGTAGCATGTCCAAGGCCCCAAGGCAGCAGTTTCCAAGGCACTGGGGCAGCCCTGGCAAGGCCGGCGCCCAGCAGCGGCCGGGCGCCGTGCCCCACCTGGACTGGGCCTGTGGGTGGGCGGGCCGGCCGGGAGTGCAGACCCTCAGTGCGGCCTGGTCAGCTCCTCTTGCCGGACTGGGAGGCTTTCTGCCTGTAGATCTCAGCGGTGAAGGGCCTGCGGGGCAGGGGAGCCTCTGGTCAGCTGGTCTGGGGGCGATGCCAACACCCCCTAGCCCGGTCCTGCTGGGGCGTGGACACAGTGACCGCCTTTCCGGGCCCTGGCCCCCACTGGGCCCACTCTGAGCTTCCTGTCTGCCCTTTGCCAGTGGCCAGGCATGGCCTGGCTGACCCAGACTGTCTCGGTACCGGGAACCAGCTCGCTGGCCACAGTGACGTCAGACTGCAACCCGGGCCCACGACGGCGCCTACTCACTCCTCGTACAGGACGGCGACCACGTAGGTGAGGGCCACAACCGCGGTCAGCAGCAGGCCGGCAGGGCTGGCGTGCCTGGGGAGAGGATGCGGCCAGTCAGGGGGCAGGCCTGGCCCCGGGCTCCCCGCCATGCTGGGTTCTGACTGGTGGACCTGTGCACCGCCTGTCCGGGCCACCTCAGGGCAGGGTCCCTTTTGTTGTGTCCCCAGCCCCCAGCCAGAGTTCAGGATGTCACAGGAGTGAACCAGGGAAGGAAGGAACAACTGGCCTCTCAGAATCACCCACGTGGTCAAGCGTGTCCTTTTCTGAGTAGGCGGGTATTCCAGGAATCAGAAAATACTACCCAGGCCCACCAGTAATGATACCTTGTTTTCTAAAAATGGGACCAGGGCTCCCAAAGTGAGGCGCAGAGCCCATGGGCCCCCTTATGGGTTCGACTGGCGACTGCCGCACCGGGGAGCCAGTGAGTCTGCTGTTGAACTGTCCCCGCTTCCCCCGCCCCCCGTCTTTTCTACAGTTGCCTTGGGCTCCAGGGACGGGGCGGCGGCTGGCCGTGGCCCTCGCACTGTCTTTGGCCGGCAGTCTAGGAAGGCCGTGTGTGGGCCCGATGCTGCTGCGCCCCCTGCTCCGTGGGCTCCACTGTCACGGGCAGAGGCTGAGGCTAAGGCTAAGCCGAGGAGAAGGCCACGCCCCCCTCCCCCGCCCTGGAGCTGCGTCCCCTGGGCCTAGGGCGCCCATCTAGAGCAAGCAGGACCTCCTGGCGAGGCCGGCAGCAGGCTAAACCTCACCCTTCCCCCACCCCCTCTGGCCAACTCACAGGCAGAGCTCAGGGGCTGGCTCCGGTGGAGCCCAGGTGCTGGGCTCCGTGGCCACAGTGTCCCTGAGATGGATGACCTGGGCAGCCCAGTTAACTGGCAGTCCCAGGGGCCAGGAAGGAACGCGGCTCCTGCCGCTGACCTCGGCCAGGCCCTGGACCGCAGAACACAAACTGCACAAGCCTCTCCTTTCCACCGTGTCTACATCCAGCAGTCCCACCTTCCGAATGCTACCACGCCCTTGGTCTTGACGCCCTGGCAGTCCTGCGTGGAGGTGACCACCCGACGCTGCAGACGAGGAGATGGCCCAGAAAGACCCGCAGGCGGGAGCCCAGCCCTGGCCCTGAGCCGGGGTGGGGGCGGGGTTGGTCCTGGGGAGCTTGGGCCGCGGGCCGTGTGGGTGGAGGCCCCGCGCTGGCCCAGCCCGGTGCCCGGCCTGCCAGGGCTCATGCACGCCGGTTGCTTGGACACCAGAAAGACCTGCCTACAGGGCCCCAGAAAGGAGACAGATGGGCTACAAAAGTCCTGGAAGTTGCCCTGCTGAGTCAGCGTCTGGAAGCCCCTCCAATGGCTCTTCTCTAATGAACCGCCAGATGGAGGATGGACAGGGCTGCCCCCAGCACAGCCGAGACCCCGCCGCACCTATGGACCGCCCTGGGCGGGGGCACGGTGACCCCTCTCTCCAGGATATCAGGCACTGGCTGGGGCACAGAGGCGGCCCGTGTGTGGGCTCTGTCTCCAGAGGGCCCCTTCTAAGCACGGATGGGGGGGGAGCCAGGGAGGGCTTCCTGGAGGAGAGGACACTGGAAGCTGGGCTTGAAAGGGCCGACAGGGATGGAAGTGGGGAGGAACAGCCTGTGTGCTGGCAGGGAGGGGACGGGGCTCGGCCGGGCGGGAGGTCACTGTGGGGAGGCAGGTCTGAGGGCGCAGGGCCTGCCCCAGGGCCCACCGCCCGCATCTGGGCAGGAGGGGCTGGGGCTGCCTGGTCTACAAGTGGAGCTGGGGTGTGGGGTTTCCCAGCCAGGCCCACAAGCCCCGCTCCAGCTGCTGTTACTCAAAACCCAGGGCTCTCCCGGGGTGGGGGTGGGGTGTAGGGAGGAATATCTCAACTCTGACGTTCTACTGTCCGAGAGTCATTCCTGTGTCCTATAACCTTTCCATGGTTTCCAGGCTCCAGCAGCACCTGTAACATCACAGGCAAGGAGTCTTCGAGTATCCAACAAAAGCGGCACACTTTCCACAAGCGAGCACTGCTCTGGGGGACCCGGGGTCTGACGCCCAGAGCCCCCAGCGGTCCCTGCGCTGCTCCCTTGGCCTGGGTGCGGCCGGAGCCCAGGGCTACTCGTCTGTGCCGGCGGCCGGCTGAGACGGACGGCAGAGCGAGTCCTGTGGCCCACAGGCTGGCGCGGGCATGGGTGCCCTTCCGTGGGGTGGAGTTCTGCGACCTGGGCACGTGCGGACAGCAGAACTCCAGCCGCCGCCGCCCGGCCTGTGGGCCAGCGTTGCTGTGTGCTTCTCTACTGATTAAAGAAGGGGATCAAGAGAATAGTATTTTGTGACACCTGAAAATCGCACAAGATTCAAACTTCAAGCATGATGACACCGGCCACACCTGTTCATTCAGGGCCTGTGGGGCAGCCCCCTCACGCTTGGGGTCCGTGAGCCCCGCTCTCTGAGCCTGCGAGGGAAAGGCTGCCGACCCCTGCCCTGGATGCTGCTGTGCCCACAAAGAAGCGATCCCAAGGCGCACATCCTGCCGGCGCCCAGCGCTCCGTGAGGGGCACAAGGCCGCCGTCCTCCCGGCGGGGAGGACGGGCAGGAGGGCCCGCTACTCACACGACAGCCCAGCCCAGGTAGTTGGCCGTGCTGCCCCAGTACATGGGGTTGTCCAGGACGCTGAATGGGAACGTGGTCACTCTGGACTCCTTGAGGATCCCGAAGTAATCACCTGCGGAAAAGGTGGGGCAGGTCAAAGAGTCACATCTTGGTCACCCCATCCCTAGGAGAGGGGTTGGCCTGCGGGGCCTGCCCTCCAGGAGGCGCCAGGTTATGGGGGAGCAGGGCTACCAGTGCACAAGTCAGGCCCCCCGGGCAGGCCTGCGCCGGCCGCGGCCGTGCGGCCACCTCGGAGGGCAGGGGCTGCAGCGGCTGAGGGGCCGGGGCGGGCGCGGTGGACACCCACTGCCCTGGAGTCGGGGGCTCCCCTCCCCAGAAATCCCTTGGGCCTTCATCCACAGCAGAAGTAGGACAGCCACAGGCAGGGGGAACAGGCAGGAGCTGCGTCACCCACCCATTGTCTGGGGACAAAGGAGTGCGGGCCCAGGCAGGGCTGGGCGGCTTTCTCCCCAGGAGGCCGGGGCCTGGGGGCGGTGGCACAGAAACCTGCTTTGGGGCTGATGCGCAGCAGGGGCGGCTGCCTGACCCACAAGCAGGGCCCGGCCCTCGCGGTCTGGCTGCTCCTCCTGGGGCAGCGGGCTCGGCCCTCTCCCCACCCGCCCTGACTCTCCCCTCCAGCCCAGTCTCACCAAGTGGCTCTGACTAAGCGCTGCCCCCGCGCTGCCGTGGGAGGGGTGGGTGGGGGCTACGCCAGCCCCTTCCTGGCTCTGTGCCTGCCCTGCCGTAGTGCCTGTGCACGGGGTGGGCTATGCATACCTGGTCTCCAGAGGACCGAGCTGGCCAGCACACTGCCCCCCCCCCCTCCTGGGACCCTCCCGCCAGCCAGGCCACCACGCCCACCCGTGGCCACAGCTCCTCCCTGGGCCTCCCGCCCACCCCAGCAGTCGGCCCTGGGCCACTGGTGCCAGAAGGGCCTTTCCAGCCCCTGCCATGGCCCCTGCGGCACTGGGAGGGGAGCTCAGTCCCCTGTGTGGCCTTCAGGGACCCGAGTGACGTGGCTCTGCCCAGCCTCAAGCCTGGCCCCGCTGGCCCCGGGCACCAGCCCGCCTGCCTCTGCAGCAAGCCCCTGCCCCTCTCCCCGTGAGCCTGCGCTCGCTCTCGGGCCTGTCCTCCTTCCCACCCAGCCCACCTGCCAGGGCCAGGGGCTCTGGCGGCCCTTCTCCCTGGGCTCCCTAACCCTCACCCTAGCCTATTCCGGCCCCAGGCTCCCTATCGCCGCCACCCAGCGCGAGGCCCCGCACACCAGTCCCAGCCCGGGCTTCGCTGCAGGGCCAAGGGGAGAGTGCTCCTCCGCGCCTGAGCCATCAGCCCCTGGGAGCTCGAGGGCCCCTGCTGCAGCCCGCAGTGCCCAGGCCAAAGCCCTGCAGGCAGCCGGGGGACAAGCTGGGCACCGGTACTACCCAGGCTCTGGGGCAGACTGGGACAGGGGCTGAGAGGGCAGAGGCCCCCAACCCCTGACCCAGCCTGTCAGGGAGCCAGACACCTGCATGTGCCATCTGCTTGCTGGGGGGGCTTCCCCCTGGAACAGCGGCCGCCTCCTGCTTTCCTTCCCTGTCCCCAAGGCCACCCTAGCCCCTGCAGCCATCCCTTGAGGCTTTCTTTCCTGGGCTTCCAAGTTGCTGAAAGTCACTGATGCCTTGAGGACTTCTGGCCAGGCCAGCACTGAGCTCCAGCCCAAAATCACCAGAGCTGCAGGTAAGAAGGGACAGTGCCCTGGCCCTCCCTCCTCCAGACCTGCTACTGCCCTGGCTCGGGGTCCAGACACAGCAGGCGGACATGCTGCCTGGCCTGGCAGCCAAGCGGCAGGACGCGAGAGAGCACCCCGCTTCCTAAGCTAACGGGGGACAGGCCGGGGCCTGCGGGGGAGGGCGCCCCAAGCCCCACGCAGACATCACAGGTGGCAGGGCACTCAGCCCCCTCACTCCTCCCGGACCCTAAACGGGTCAGCCCCAGCGCCCCCGGCCCCTGGCGCTGGGGGTCCTACCTAGGAAGGTCCCGGTGAAGCCCAGTGCGAAGAAGCTGGAGAGCACCAGCAGGCTGCCGGCCCCCAGGAGCAGCAGGCCCGCCAGGCGGGCCACGGGGCTGTCCAGGCTGTTCATCTGGGGCTGGCTCAGCATGGCCTGTGTGAAGCTGCAGGCAGGGGACAGGGAGGCACGAGGTCACCGCCCGGGAAGGGAGGCTGCCGCTCCTCCCGGCCCGTCCTCCAGGCGGCCCCCATGGCAGTCTGCCCGAGGGCCCCAGCTCAGGGCCCCCGGGGGCCAGGCAGGCGGAGAGGAGGCCAGGCCCCCCGGGCCGCCCGGGTGCCCATGCCCGCTGCCGTGAGGGAGGGGCACGGACGGGGCCCAGCCTCTTGGGTTTGTTTTCCAAGAGGAGTCAGAAATCCTGACTTGTATATGAAGTATCCCGATTAAAAAACAGACAGACAAACAAAAAACAGGCAACTAATGGAAACTACTTTGGATTCTGTGCATGACTGCAGGCCAGATTCAGCCCAAAGACCACCAGTTTGCAAACTCGACCCTGTCCAGACAGCACCTGGTACTGTGGGAGAACATGAACCTCGGATAGTTAAAGACGCGCGCCCAGGCCGTGCCTCGGGCCATGCTGGGGCCACCGCCCTGCGCCTGGCGTGCACTCCTGTGTCCTGGTGCCTCCCCCTCCAGTGCCCTGAAGCCGCAGGTGAGCCTGCCCCTGCCCCAGCCTCCTCAGCTCCTGCACAGCACCAGCCACACCCCAGGGGGCACCTCAGGCACCCCAGCTGAGCCTTCCGTCCACACCCGACGTGCCCCTAGCAGCCCTCTTTGGAGCCAAGCCATGGAAGGCCTTGTTAAAAGGCAAGTGGCTTGACCAAAAGCGGTGACTATGCGAGTGGGTTTAAAATTCCCATTCTCCATTTGGCTCCTGAGGACTGGAAGGCCTGGTGCAGCAGGGACCAAGGGCCTGGGCTCACGGTGATGCACAGGAGCAAGACTCAGGGTCCACCTGTGCGGGGAGGGACAGGCACTGGGGGCCTCTCCAAAGAAAAAGTGTGTGTGGGAGCAAGTGCACGCAGGCACCACAAACACACATCTCCCACCCCCATGACCACAAGTCATGGGATCCAATTCACCAGGGGCGGCCGCCCGCACCCACTTTGTACGACGTACTCCTGGCAGGGCGGCTCACCACCCAGCCACCGCCCCTCCGTTCGTCTGCCTGTCCTCTGTCACCACTCCTTCGTCTGCGCTCCACTCGCTCGCCCGTCCTTCTGTCCATCAGTCCATCCTGTTTCCGTCCACCCGTCTATCCTCCATCCATCCACCCATCTATTTTCCATCCATCCACCCACCCACCCGCGCGTCCTCCACCCACCCACCCACGCATCCTCCACCCACCCGCGCGTCCTCCACCCACCCACCCACGCGTCCTCCACCCACCCACCCGCGCATCCGCCACCCACCCACCCACGCGTCCTCCACCCACCCACCCACGCGTCCTCCATCCATCTCTCCTCCATCATCATGAGGTACCTGTCTGCCAGACTCACATCTCCACTCACCCCACCCGCCTACTTGCACTACCATAACACTATCCTTATGCTAAGCCAAGAGCTGCCTTCCTGGGACTTTTCCTCCGTCCGCTCTCAGCTTAGAGAACAGAGGCTGCTGCTCCTCCCCCTGAACCCCGCCTGGCACCCGGCACCCTCCAGGCGGGGTGGGTCGCAGCACAGTCACAAGAGCAGGAAAAGCAGCAGCCCCTGCCCTTCTCCTCCCACGCGCCCCCCGCCCGGGGGGGGGAAAGTCTGTGAACAGACAGCCAGCAGAAGCCTCCACGGCGACCTGTCAAACAGAGGCACCCCCGTGTCAGGGCACCCCTGGCCGCTGGTCACCCTGCCCACAGCCCCCGCTCTCCGCCCCCACTGCTCTCCCTCCTGCTGCTGGGCTCAGGGTCATCCTGTAGCCGCAGGCTGAGAGTCTCGGGTCGGCTCAGGGTCACACACACCCAGCGCTGTGCCCGGTCACACCACGCCCCGCTCCTCCGTGCCCTCCCCTGGTTTTCGGGAAGCCTGCAGCCGAGCGCCCCCGCTACCCTGCAGGCCCAGCAGCTGACGCCTCGGTGCAGTGGGGGGCATGCAGGGGCGTGGCCCTGCGAGGCTGGCTGCCCCACCCGGGCTGGCTGAGCCACAGGCCCCGGGTCCTGGGCCACCCTGCCTTAAGGGCCAGGCCACAGAGAGCGTGAGCGAGGGCTGGGGCGACCCCCCGCCGCCCCGCCCCACTGGCACCGACTCCTTGCTGCCTGGGCTCATTCCCAGCCCTCAAGCCCAGGGCAACGAGGCCTGCTGGGTCACAGTGAGGATTAAGCTGAGGTGGGGTAGAAGTTCACCAGGAGAAGGGGGTGGGCAGGGGGCTCATTCTAGGAAAAAACCAGGTGGCGGGGGCGGGGGCAGGGGGAGCCCTGCAGAGAAGGCCTCCAGGACTGTGGTTAGGAGCTAGGAATGCTTCTCTGTGGGTGGGAGGAGCCGAGAGGGGGCCGGTCACGGCCCAGGCTGGACCCAACTGGGGCCCGGGCGGGGCCGGCGCCAGCTCCTCTACCTGAGTCCATCTGCAGCGTCTGGGCAGCCGGCCACTTCCTGGCCCAGTGCCAGCAGCAGGGCCCTCTGAGGCGGGGCTCTCACCCTGTCATGATGTGCCTGAAGGAGCCCGCCTGGGAACGGCTCCCAGCCGGGGCACGGCACTGCAGGGGAAGCCATCAGGCTGGAAGGTCCCTCATGACTGCGTCCTGGAGCCATGCAGCCAGGCACTGGGCGAAGCAACGGCTGGAGGCAGCAGAGATTCGTGGCGCAGGGCGGACCTCGGGCCCGCAGCGGGGGCGCGGACAGCCCTGAAGCAGCTGTGTGGCTGCCCAGACCAGACCCGGCCCCCTGCAGCGCCGCTCCATCACTCGCGGGGGAAAGGGTCCCGGGGAGCACCGCCCCGGGCTCCGCCAGTGCCTTGGTCTCCAGCTCCCCACAGAGTGCGGTGCTGGCTTCTCAGCAGAGGAGCTCAGCCGGGCCGCCCGAGCTCTGCCCAGGCGCCTTCCATACCCAGCCACGTGCCCTGCGGCAGGTTTAAAGAAACGGCACGGCCGGCCCTCGTCTGGTGACCCGTGACGTTCCAGCTCCTCCATTAAGTTGGGAAAGCACAGTCCAATCCCCACAGAAAATCAGTGAAGGAACAAGGGCCTCTGAGGGCCAGGCACTCTCTCTGCAAGAGGACAGAGGCACAGATAGGAGGTGACTTCCTCTAGAAATATTCTACACCAGGGGTGGGAGCGGAGAGACTTGTTCATTTGTGTCCGGTTCGACCTCTAATACTTAAATTGAGCTTTTGGTCACCCATTGCCTTCAGGCTAGGCACACCCCGCTCCCCCGAAATCCTGGAATCCGGGTGGAGGCGGGCAGAGGGGCCACTGCCCACGCTGCCCTGGCTGCACACCAGGCACCTGGCTCGGCCTCTGGCTCCAGCCTCCTTCGGGGTCCTACCTCTAACCAAGGCCCTTCCTGTGAAGCAAACCCCCAACGGCTCCCACAGCCCCCAGAGCTAAGGCTGAGCCCGGCCACGCCTCCTGGGCCCTCGGCCCCCGGCCCAGAGCTGCCTCCCACAGCAGGCCCGCAGACCTGCTCAGCGCCCCTCAGGCCCGAAGCCCATGCCCCGCGCAGCCCCCTGCCTGAGCAGGGGCTGACCTGTCAACACCGGGCACATCACAACCGACAGGGCGCAAGGTCAGGACGTTTCGGCGACGTGGTGAAGGTCCCCAGCCAGTTTACCTAAGTTAACTGAAAAGGACATTATGGGAGGCCCTCTGCCGCAGCACACGGTGCCCCTCGTGCCGTTCCCTCGTTCCCTCAGGACCGCGTCTGGGAACAGTGCAGCCAGGCGCTGGGTGAAGCAACGGCTGGCACGCAGAGGGCCACCGGCAGGACAGCCGCACGTACGCTGACATTGCGCTGGTCCAGCCAGCGCACGCACGGGGCGCACACGCCCCCAAGCCACTGGCACACAGAGCGGGAAGGAGGTGTGCCCCACCCCAGCCGCGTCCCCGCTCCTGCTGCCCGTTGCCTACAGGGGACGCAGCCCGCAGGGGGCCAGCCTGCCCCTGGCCCCCCCAGCCCCGGACTCGCAGGCCCACCTCCACAAGACCCCGCGGGGTTCCGAAGCACACCGGCACACAGCTCCTCCCCCCGCCGGCCGACGACGGGCACAGGGCTCCCGGCGCCCGCTCCACGCTGCCGTCCAGGCTCCATGAGGAAGGGGCAGTGCCCGTCCTGTCAGGCGCGGGGCGGCACCCCGACAGGCTCCGAACTGGGCAGGGTCCCAGGCTCCCCTCCTGCTGAGACCAGCTGTGCAGGGGGCGCCCCCAGCCGGTCAGCCCCACCCAGTCATCCCTCGCAGCCAGAGCAAAGGGCCTGTGGTAACAGCCCCCGGGCGGAGCGCCAGGTCATCCTGCCGCCCCCCGGGACGCCTCTGGCTGCCTGGCCCTGCCCCTTGGCACCTGTTGGCAACCACTGGGCCCATGTCGGCAGGCCAGCTGCCCAGCGCTCTCGGACAGCTCTGCCCGTGGCCCTGATGGCTTCTGCCCTCCCCCCATGGAGCTCTCAGCTTACAGAAAGCACGGACACACTGGAATTGTCCAGAACAGGCAACTCCACAGGGACAGAAAGCAGGTTAGTATTTTCCAAGCGCTGGGGGAGGGGGCAGAGCGGGTAGGGGTGACTCCTTAATGGGTTCAGAATTTATATTTGAGGTGAAAAGTTCTGGAACTAAACAAAAGTGGTTGTACAACACTGTGAATGAATTAAATGTCACTGAACTATATACTTTAAAATGGTAGTTTTCTTATGTGTATTTTCCTGCAAGATAACAAAACACACGTCTAGGAATCAAATGAAGTAATGTGTGTGCAAGCGCGCTGGGGAAAATGGGGGGGGCCCCAGGCAGGCGCTGGTCTGCACAGGGTTCTCACAGGCCTTGCTCCGAAGCCCCCGCGCCCGCCCAACGCCCCTGGGGAGGACAGGGAAGAGAGCACTGCTGCCAGCGGCGCAGCCCAGCCAGGGAGCAGGGCGCTGCGGGCGGGCCCGGGGGCTGCCATGGCAGGCAGCTACTGGAGCGGGG